TTTCCGTAGAGCTAATAGATGCTCAGGGGAATGGGCTTAAAAAAAAAAAAAAAAAAAAGAAAAGAAATAATTTTCTAGTGATATTTGATCTTAGTTTTGAAAGAAATTATTCTGTGAATGGTGAAACTTACAGTTTTTCTACTACTTTGTGTACTGCTACCCTTATGACCTCCAAATTTCTTAGTATTTTCAGCTTCATACTACAGCTTACCTTTCTGATCAGTACCTAGGTGCACTTTTGGGATTAGGCTTGTATTTATATGCCACCTAAAACTAATGCTGGTCGACCAGCTGATTGGTGTCTCTTAAGATGGATGTGAGCCATTTTAATTGAATTTAAACTATCTGTCTCTGTATCAGTGTACTAATTTGGGTTCTGTCTTTAATCACCAATTTTCATTAAATTTGCAGGAACTGAAAGTCTTTGAGAGCTGTCCTATTTATTTGAAATTAAAAGCTATTGTGGTGGAAAGACAGATGGTTTGATCCAGTAAAATTTGTTTTCTGGTGAAAATAGAAGCAAGTGAAAATCAAACCAGAAGGTCTGGTTTCCAGTTCTTTCTGAGCTATGGGCTAAATTCTCTGCTGAGTTAACTTTGAAGCATTTAAAAGGAAGAAAATGTGTTATTTTATTGTGGCTTAATCTCAGCTGGCAACCAAGTACCACAAAGCCTCTTGCTCATTTCCCCCACCCCGCTCCTGACCCTGTGGGATAGGGAAAAGAACTGGAAAGAAGGTACATGTATGTACATTAGCTTCCTTGTACTTTTTGCTTTCCATCCATAGTTGAAATAAGTCTACTACTGAAACAGTCTACTTCTTTAATATATTATCATTATAAATAATAAATTAGGTATGTACAAAACATAAAAAATTAGTACAAAACATAAAAAAATTAAGGTCTCAATTCTTCAGTCTACTAAGTGCAGAACAACTGTAAAATTTTTACCTACAGAGATAAATAAAACAATATTCTGCTCCATGGGGAAATTATTTGCCAAAGCGTAGCTGGTTTATATAGATAGTCTTCTTACAGTCATCTCTGCTTCAGCTCCTGGAATAAGAGAAAGAAGAAAGATTGCGGGGAGCAAAGCAAACATACACGTGGCAGACTTATCTTGTGTGATTTTTCAGTGCAGTAAGTTTAGGTTTGTGACAGACATTAGTAGGTTGTTACCCTCTTCAGCCCACCAGACTTTTTGTCTGCTCATAAATCAGCTTTGGAACGACTGTAGTCTTTAGCTCATGCGTCACATTGGCTGAGTACTCCAGACTGAAAACTGAGTAGCTCAGGAGATGTTTTGTGTATCAAATACTGCTGTCTTAGAGATGGTGCTGCTCTTTATAGCACATGCAGTAGGAGATAAATTTTCCTTTGTCACATGTCTATTAGAATTCACAATAGCAAAATTTAATTGCATTGTTAGTTGTTAACTTACCTTGTTACTCAGCTTCTGCTGGAGCTAGGTAGCATAGGATCAGACAGCTGCAGTTTTTGGAAATCACATTTGTTTAGATGTATCTGAGGCCAAGGTATGTGTCATACCAACAACTAGCAGGAGATGGGTTGATGAAAAGTTCTAAGTGCATGTTCTCTTTTAGTGTCTGGTGTGGATTTTAAGACAGAGCTGAAAGAGTGGGTTTGAAGAGCTTATATGAAGTGAAAATCAATTGAGAACTATAATATATTGTAATGGCATTTGTATTTCAATTGCCTGTTCTTTCCTTACTCAACTGATCCCTGAAATTTTCATTTGTTTTAAACTGGTGCTGACACATTCTAGGCATTGTATTAGACTGCAAAATCTATTATGTTCAAAAAGGGGAGGATTGGAATATGAATTGTTGAAGCTATGAAAAAAGTTTTCAAATAATTGAAACTGTGTGTAGTTCCAATCATGGAAATAGATTTCTGGTGGAATTTGAACTAAGAAATTATCTTTTTTCGAGGGAAAAGATAAAAAAGGAGAATTCTAACTTTAACAAAGGAAAATTGGGCTAACAAAAATGGCTGCTTCTCTACCTATCCCCTATGGCTTTTGAGCCCTACTCTAGAGGCAGCACTGCTGGCTTCTCGGTGCAAAACCTAGACACCTGGGAATACTCAGTCATGGCCTGATTGACTGGGAGAGCCATGGTGTGTCTCAGATATAATGTAAAGAACCAGTATTGATTTTTTCTTTTCATGCTGATTTTCTAGTTTCTGTGACTGCAGTAACAAGTTAACTTTTTTGCTCTGTGTAACCTTTCCAATGTTGCCTCAAGCAATAAACCTAGAGCATTTATCTAGAGACACTGAATTGAGCTAAGGAGAGTGATTTGCCTCCTCCACAGCCACTCCAAAAAAGCAGCATTCATAGGTTTGTAAGCATAGTGTTTCCCAGGAGTCTGAAAGCTGTGTGCTTAGTGGAAATAGTTCACTTTGCTAGGAGCTGCTAATCTCCTGCATGTAGATTATCTGAAACATTGCCAAATGCTTTCAGGGCAGCAACACCTCCAAAAAACCCTGATGTTACATTAAGAAAGTACCTTTATAATTAGAAAAATTCATTGTACTCTCTGGATCTGCTTGATTCATCTGCATGTATCTTCAAAATATTTTTTTGACTTAAATTTGAAGGATTTAGTATTTTTCTTTGGCTACATGAGATGTGAGATGCATGAAAAGTTCTGAAACAGTTTCAGAAGTTATGCAAATGCTCAGAAGTTTATAAGTTCTGTTCTGAATTAGGCAAACTTGATTTGACCTACAGAGTGTCACTTATGTCAAGAGAGACATGGTAGAATTATTTTATTATAGTTGTGTGCCATTATAATACTGCTGCTGAATAAGTGACCAGCTGCATTACTAAAAGGTATTTTATTGCATCTTGAAATATAACAGAGTGACATATGCTTTTACTTCCAATTATAGAAACTATACTTTAAGGCAAGAGACAATGAAAGGCTTTCGATGTCTTTGCTGGAATAAAGAATTCAGAATTTACTTCATGATAAGCTCATAGATAGAAACAATATTCATGCTTTTTTTTTTTTTTTTCCCTTTTTCTTTCATTCCCATCCAGGTGATTCTCAGATAATTGAAATCATGTTAGGGCAGATAAGGATGACTGTGACTTTAACATTCAAAAGCATTTGAATTGGTACACAATGAATTTCCTCATAAGGACATTTCTTCCCCAGGACAGAAGTGGAATAGGTCAGATTTTTAGTTTTTGTAAACTGAATGGGATAATTTAGTTATAATATGACATTTCCTAGTCTTTTTCTCTTGCTTTGTCCAGCAACCAAAGCATTTCTGTCTTAGCTGTTAAGCAGAAATTGAAGTTGTGATGCTAGAAATGAAAGTGACATTTCATCCTAGGTTTCATATTTTCCATTATTCTCAGAAGAACAGAAATATTTAACTAAGTAAATCTGAATATAGTCCTTCCTTTTCAGCACTCATGCCAGAGGCAAAAGACAGCAAACGTTTGGTTTCATCTTCTGAAACTATATCCTCTTGAGATTTGTGGAATTTGTATTTGCATCTATTTTAAAGTTAAGCTCTCAGTGCCCTCCTGGGAAAATACTATTCATTAAACTACATATTTTTTAAAATTTATATGTATTTTCATTGTTTTGGCAGTGATGCTATATTACTCTTAGTTGGATGATTTACCAACCTGAGAACTACTAAGGAGATTTAAGTGCTTTTTTTAAAAAAAATTGTTTCCCCTAAAATTTATCAGTTTTAAAACATTTTGAGCTATTCTTTTTCTAATTGCATGGTACTGTGAAATTTCTGCAACTACAGTGTAATGTTTCATTTCAGGGTAATGTTCAGTGTGGAATATGATATAAAATTAAAGATATGGCAGACAGACAGTTGAGTCTGTCCTGCCTGAACGTGAAATGTGTTCTGAGCACCATTTAAACTGGATAATGATGTGCAAAGTCTCAGATCTGTGGAATATCATCTGAATTCCTCTTCATGTTAAGAACACCCTAGAAAATATCCTCTGCTTTAACTAATACTGGTTCAGCTCTCGTTGTACTACTCTAGCAGATATTGATTATATGGGCTGCTGAATCCTTTTTTAAAGATGTTGTTGCATAATCCTGCTGGATTCAATAATTAGATTTATTGACAGTAATGGCGACTCCTGATTTATTTAAATGATACCTCTCTATAGCATCTGTTGGTGGATAAGAAAAAATTATACATATATATTTAGGTAGAGAGAGGTGAAAGTGTTTTCTCTTAATAAGGTATCAATTATGTATTGTGGTTATCTTTGTGTGTATATATCAAACCAGACTTTTTAATGTATTGTGGAAATTAAAAAAAAAAATCTTAAAAATTGTCGTGAGTTTTGGGAGAGCAGACAGATCACCAGTACCTCTCTAAGTACAAGTCAGAGGTGAGGTAGATAATTCAAGCTTCTTTTGTTCATTGTTACAAGAAAGAAAAAGAACCATTTATTGGGAAGATAAGACTGCATAAAAGAAAGCGCATTTAATAGTCCTGGCGGTTTTGTCTATATGTAATGATTAATTAAGTGGTAGCCTGGATTGGATATCTCTCTTAGGCAAAGTAATAATATCACAGTTTGATTTAAAAAAAATTAAATATCTACTAATTATGACTGCCATCAATTATATAATTCCTTCTGTAATACTTTTATTTGAATAAAAGAAGGATGGGAAAATATATTCTCTGATTATAAAGCATCAATTGACTTATGATCACAAGATATCTAGACTATCAGGGAAAAAATGCTGGTTTTCAGAAACTGGAAGAGAAAGAAATATTTTAAATTCTCTAGTGCAGCCTTTGGTTTTTATTGGTCAGCCAGTTAGTGCCCACTTGAATTTCCACTGAGAACTTGTAGCTGCACAGTAAACTGAAATAAAATCTCAAGAGATATGTTGTGGCTCTGTACTCACTTTGTAGATGCCAAGTTCAGTAGTCAGAGGGCTTCTTTCTGACAATGAGTCTCTTTCCTGTTCTCTGACAGCCACGAGCTGTTGCTGGCTTTCGAGGAACGGTACGATACGCATCAATCAACGCTCACAGAAACAGAGTGAGTATCACAGTCTGGATCAAAACCATCTCATGCAGCTGGAAGCAGTCAGTTACACAGTTACTGTTCATTTCCTTTTTTGTATTCTTATCTGTGCATTTATTATGTAGAAATTAACAGCTATAAATTTTGTGAAAGGATAATGTAATTTAAAGTAGTTGAGGAAAAAAGTTTTTGTAAAAATAATAGTGATTCTAACACTTATCTTTGGTGTTCAGTTGTATTGCAAGTTAATAAGTTAAAAAAGTGAAGCTACTGAGTTTTGTGAGGTACATAATGCTCAGTATGTTGTCTTAACATCATACTGAGTAAGCAGAGATTTGCAATGTTATTTTAACACACTTCAACTTTTATTTTATTTCTCTCTGTCTTCTGTGGAAATTTACTTGTATGTTTCTCCTTAAAATAGCCACTTGATTTAATTAACTTGTTTTGCAGCATAGGTTATATTAAATTTTATATAATAATTTAAGCTTTGAACAGTAAAGAACTTATCTTTCCATTTGTTTAGATATTTGTAATATGCTTTAAAATAATACTTCCTTTTACAGGAAATGGGTCGGCATGATGACCTCTGGTCTCTCTTCTACATGTTGGTGGAATTTGTGGTTGGGCAGCTGCCTTGGAGAAAAATAAAAGATAAGGTAAAGCTAGAGGTGAAACCAGAGCATAAAGGAGGTTTATTTCTGGCCAGAGAAATGCTGTGATAAAGATTCCTCTTAGAATCATTAATTAATTTTAACATTATATTTTCCAGTGTTTTCTAGTGTTAGTTCTTGTGACTAGTGTCATGGTATAAAAAGCAATCAAATTTCACTAAGTGTTCTGGGAAGAAAGGAGGTTATACTTTTAGATTTAAATTATTGTAAAGGGCAGAAGTGTATATTTGCCCCTTACTTCATTATTCCTGTTATCGCTTGAGTATTTTTATTTCAGCTATCACACGCTTTTGATTATTTGTCAAGTAGGTATTTCTTGTTTGATGGTGAACAAAAGTGGATTGCGCAATATGCAATAGTGCTTTTAGTCATATGTCATAGGTGAAGTATGCAAAGAAAACATCTAATCAGCCTGGTATTACTTCTTTTGAAATCATACTGAAACCAGGGTACTCTCTGATGTGGTTTATGTATTGGTAGATAGCAGTGTGTTGTATAGCATCTTCTTTTTGGTTTGGATTTATGCATCTTACACGACTGAATATACACCAAAAAGTGACTGAACTTGACATGATGCAACAAGACATTCAGATCTTTAAAACATACTAATAGAAAGGGTTGGAGCATTTAGTGACAGCTCTTCATACCAGTCAGCATTCAAACAGACAACACGAACAACACAAGCACAGTAGAAAACTAAATGGCTTTTCATATTGAATTTGAAGTTTGTACATTATTTTGCAAGTGTACTGAGGCCAAAACCAGAGTCTCCTATCTTGCTCTCTGGTGTAGAATGGCCTTTCTCAGTAACATTCAGTGTAATGTAGTGACCCATCTCTCTGGCTAGTAGTGTATTGAATGGCTGTAGCATGAATGTGAGTATGTTGTAACAGAGAAGGAAGATGTGCCAATGTTTGTTGTGTTACTTACTCCTAGGAGCAAGTGGGCTCCATTAAAGAAAGGTACGAACACAGGCTTATGTTGAAACATCTCCCTCAAGAATTCAACGTCTTTCTGGATCACATTTCTAATTTGGATTACTTCACAAAGCCTGATTACCAGGTAAACACTTGTACTATTTTGTCCTTCTGTTTTATAAAGAAGGGAATTTTACGCTGTTTCATCTCCAATTTACTTTGATTTCATTGTGTAATCTTGATAGTTATTATGGTTTGTGCCACCACAAAGTTAATTTAATGACCATTTAGTGCCATGGAAACTTTATGGTTCAAATGTTATTTTTTTTTCATTTGGGAAGTGTAAGGCTGTTAAGTTTCTAAAAACAATTGACACCTGGTTTTCAGTCAGTATTCTGTTAGGATTGGGAGCTATCCTACTATCACAGTCTCTAGTACGTGCTCTGTAAGTTAATTGATCAGATTGTTCTCTCAGGGATTGTCATTCTGGCGGTTTTCCAAAGTCTGGAACTCAGCACCTACAGCTAGAGCACAACATACACTCATGGTGTGTTTTCAAAACTGAAGTATTGTGTAAAGAGATCACAGAAGACCAGTCATTTTTCTTTGTTTAAGAGAAACAAAGAGAGTTCTTTCTTTGTTTAAGAGAGTATTGCCTGCTGAAATGGACAGCCTCTGCTCAGTGGTAAGGTGCTATGTGCCGAGAGGATACGCTGTAAAATGTGTCTTAAATCACTCAGTGTTGACCTAGGATTAAACAATAAATAAATGCAAAACTTTTTCCCAGTTTGTGGAAAGCAGCAGAGGAGTGCTCAGAAAAAGCAGGGAGGGAGAGACTTGAGAGTTTATTCAGCCTCGCACACTGGGAGAGGTTGCACTGATCAAACTGCACACCATGGCAAGCTGTCCCTGTGTGCCTTCCTTCTGGCTCCCAGAAACATGCATTCCTGCTTCCCACTTGCAGGACCTGTCTGCCTCTGTGCCTTTGTTCAACTCCTTAAATCAGTGAAATCAGAAGGAATGAGTTTCTGTTGTTCCAAGTGTAATTGGTTCAACTGAATAAATAAATCTGACTAGCTCTGGAACTGTAACTTTGATAGGAGCAACTCTACTTTGCTTGGTAAGATTTACAAAGAAATCAAGCGATATAAGAATTGAAATAAGAGCTGAAAATCTCAAGGAATAACTGATTTCCTGTTATGAGTGGATTTCTCTAAATATACTGGTACATGATTCTGCATATTTGCAAAACAAATCAATTTTTGTGAAAAAAATTGAATGTTAAAAAAAGTTATTACAAATCCAAAAAATGTTCAGTATTCTTGAAAAAGAAATACTTTGATTTCTTTTTTCCTCTTCTCCATTGCAAATTTCCATGAAATTTCTCCTATAGTTTACAATTAAATGAGGAAAAAGTTTTCGATGTTTTGTGTGCCTGGTTATAAAGATGTATTAGATTTTTTTTCCTATGGTGAAGAGTACTCTTGCAGAAATTTTGATGTTGCATAGAAAAACCTTGATTATAGACTGGTAACTACATTTTACATTACAGAATTTGAATGATAAAACATACAGACATTCATATTTTTGCAAATCCTTTTCTGTGATCTGTTGGTATCTAACACAGCACATGCACTCAGCAATTAACACAATACCAGGACAGAGTTTTTCCATGGTAGAGAAAGCGCAGTAATTTACAGTCCTGTGGCTATTCATGGAACATTTGCAGTTGTGTAGCTGCAGCCTGAGCCTTACAACAACAAGTCTTACTCATGTACTTTAGACCAGAGCCAGGTGGTTTTATTTAGAGCAGTGAGAAGGCTCTTTTAAACTCTGGTCTCTCTTAACTTGTGTTTGCAGTGGTGTTACTCCTACTTACTATATTCTTTGTATTTATGGGTGAGCATTGAACAAGAATGTATGTATATCCCTGCTTCGAAGAGTTTGTAGTCTAAAAAGTTCATCACCTAGGCCAAGAAGCCATGTTTGATTTGGCAATATCAGATGTTTATTTTTTTCAGGTATTTGTGCATACATTGCCTCAGCCTCCTGATATCAATAAGCATTTGAGTTTGCATTTGGCTTATAGCAGAAATTGTTGAAAAGATTTAAAAGACAATGACTTCAAAAATTACTTCAGAGACACTGCTTAATGTTTGGAGGAGGAGAAGAATTAAACACAGTATATAAAGGACAGAGTGAAGTATGGCTCTGTGCTCTTCAGTAGGATTACAGAAATGACTGGGACAGGTGACACACAGAAGGTTCTTGAGAGTAAAAATTACTTGGGTGAGACCACTCTATACAAGAGAAATGATCCAAACTTTCCATCTATTTTAAGTTGCCAAAGGGTATGCCAAAGGAGAGTGAGGAAAAATTTTCAGCATCCTGGATTGGGAAACAACCCAGATTTTTAGCTTCTAGGGGAAAAAAAACTTTAGAAATGTTACAGAGTAAGAGAATGATATGGACACAGCCTTCCCATCAGTGACTAGAATGAGACAAAGTTAATTTCACAGAGGGAGGAAAGTGATGCCATTTTTTTCTCTGTCATGGACACAAATTTTCTAAAGGCTTTTTCATAAAATGGGAATTGAACACTTAGACATTTATATAGTATAAATGTCAGCATTATGTGAAGTAAATGATATATGATTCTTAATACAGAAATGTATGAATTAGCAGATAAGTATCCTTTCCTACACCTCATTCATTTCCTTGGTTTCATGGTGTTACCAAATGTATTATTTTCTCTTCATCTGCTAGAGAGCCATTGTATGGTATTCTGCAGCAATGTAGTTATGCTTCTCTTTGTGTATTTCTGTCTTTCTGTAAAAGTCTACGGTGTATCTTTGCCTCATGCCTCTTAAAAACACAGATGTGGGTGGATTTTTTTTACTGTTTTAGTAAAATGGAATTTTGTATATCTTGGCCTCAAAATCATGAAAAATGAGAAGTGTTTCATATAAAAACCCCTTTTTAATGTTGTTTTCAATATTAGAGGATGACATTTCTTAATACTTTGATGTCTTAAAAAAAAATGAAGCTTATTAACTTTTTTCTTTATTTTCAGCTCCTCATGTCTGTGTTTGACAACAGCATGAAAACATTTGGAGTTGTTGAAAGCGACCCTTTTGACTGGGAGAAGAGTGGAACTGATGGCTCTCTGACAACAACAACAACTTCAACCACGCCTCAGCTGCACACTCGTCTTACGCCGGCTGCAATTGGGTATGCACGGTGTGGTCTCTTCAGTGGCAGCCACAGAGGGGCTTCCTACCAAAGGGAAATTATCTCCATAATTTAGTTTTTTTCTGCAGGAGTTTGAATGCATAGAGAAGTGAGGTTTGGGAGCATTTGATGTATTTCCCTTTTTAGGGTTCCAGTTTATACTCTCCTGAAAGATCAGCACTGCAGTCCTAAAATTACAGCAATAAAAATAGTACTCCAGGAAATTGCATGTAAATTTGCTCATCCATCCTTTGCTAAATCGTATTTTGTGAAACCAAATAATGTGTCCTGAGTTTAAGTGCCTGGAAATTTAACTGCCTGGAAACAAACCCATTGTTTTCTGTAATCTTGAAATAAAATTCTAGCTGCAATTTCCTTTATAAGTTTGAAAAATGACTGGATCTTTATAAGAAATTTGGAAGTAGATTTTGGTTATGTTTGAAATAATATTTATTATGTTGTATGAGACATTCTGTAATGAAGTAAATTGGACAAGATGTGGTGTTCAATAATACCCATACTCATCTCAGGGGACTGAAGAATGTAGGAGGTGTTTATGGATGAACATAAGAAGTGTTTATGGGTGCCATTAATTTTTTTGAATGGAAGAATACATAGAGAAGAATCAGGAGAGAAGTTGAGCCTGGACATAAACTCTAGCAAATTTTCTCAGAAGTGGCTTCAAAAACATTCAAAAAATCAGCTTTATGTGATTGCTTGTTTTTTTTTTTTAATTTACATATTTAGTTATGTACCTAAAGTAAATAAATTGTGACAGCCAGGAAGTTCATAAACTCTAGCAAATTTTCTCAGAAGTGGCTTCAAAAACATTCAAAAAATCAGCTTTATGTGGTAGCTTGGTTTTTTAAAATTTACGTATTTAGTTATGTATCTAAAATAAATAAATTGTGACAGCCAGGAAGTAGGAGGTGTTATATTAAATAATTTCCAAGATTTATTTTTCTGCAGAAATGTGTGGGGTTTTTTTTGTAAGTTTTTGTTTTCTGCAGAAATGTGTGGGTTTTTTTTTTTTTTTTTGTAAGTTTTTGTTTGTTTCTTTCTTTTAAAATAGAAAATAATTTCTGTAAACACATGAGAGTATAAAAATTTTTACTTTTCTGTTTTTTTTTTTAAACTACTTTTGTAGAATTGCCAATGCCACTCCTATCCCAGGAGATTTGCTGAGGGAAAATACAGATGAAGTATTCCCTGATGAACAGCTCAGTGATGGAGAGAATGTTATTCCTGTTGGTGTATCACCAGAGAAACTACCTGGATCCCCTGGACATCAGCGTCCTCAGGAAAAAGATGTTTGGGAAGAAATGGATGCAAACAGAAACAAAATAAAACTGGGGATCTGTAAGGTACTTTCAAGTCTGCATTGTGACGATGATTTTTGAACAGCTTTGTGTTCTTGTAGTGCACATAAGATATAATTAATAAGGCAGTTGTACTGATACTGATTAGCCAGAATAATCTAAGAAAATGATTTATAGTAGAGATAACATATTTTATATGATGAAAAAAGCAGACAGGCTTTTGGGCCTTGTGTCACTTTATCAGGTCTTTATGATTAATAGCTTGCTGATAATTTGGGACTCTTTGTAGTTTACTCATATTAATTTTCTTCAGACATGATCTTCATTCTTGCTCACTGAGTGAAATCAAAGAAATTTTCCTGCATCTTGCATGTGTAGAAGCTAGATACTAAATGTGCAAAAGAAGATTTTAATGTTCTCCAGTTGGCAAATCATCAGTGTGATTGGCAGTATCCATTTAATTCACTTGGTGGTTTTGTCTCCATAAGATATGGTGGTTTTGTCTCCTTTGTACTGATTCAGAGGTTCATTGGCTGGTCTTTAGAAGAGAACACTGCTTTATTTTCAGAAATGGTTTCTGAGAATTGGTTCCTGTCTTCATTATTCACAATCACAGTATTTCATACTTAGACAGATGTTGCCAGTTTCTTGATATAACAGTGTTTTTAACATGAAAACAGATTTGGTATAAAATATTCTTTATCTAGGAGGGCTGTCTAGTTTTGAAGCTGTTACTCCTTATTTGCTAGGAAAACAAATATATTATGGGAAAGACCAAGGCATGGGGCCTGTTTTCAAATGTGCTTATTTGTTTGTTTGTTTTTACCAAAGAGAGAGAAAGGCGATTGTTCTAGTTCAAACAGAGGCACTTTCTGTTACACCTGTAGAAACCAAGGATGATCATGATTTCCTGGCTCTAAATCATATTCAGTTATTATTCTAAATCATATTCAGTCATTATTAAGATACAATGCAGTTGAGTTAAAACACAGTTTAAAATCACAGAAATATTTAGCAGGTTTACTGTATAACAGTGTTATATGCTCCAGAGAATAAAAAAAACAGCTTGGAAGCTAACTTCTCTTTAATAAGAGCACTTGACTGTAAAGCAGACCAAAGATGCTACCAAATGCTAGGTTTCAGACTATTATTAAAGAAATTTCAGAGATGGGCGTGAAGTGTCGGAGTAAATGTAACTGTATTACTGTGTCTTTGATACTCCTGTTCTCAGACTTACCCAGAACCGATATATTGCCCGTATTTTGTCTGCTGTAGGTGTGTGCTGAAGAGCATATCTAAATTACCTTAACTATGGCATGAACTTAAGGACCATTCCAAATACAAATAAAAACTTGAAGGGCCTTTACCATGTAGTACCTTGTGTTCCTCTTGTTGTGCTACTCCTAGTGAGTTACATTTTTACTTTACATTTTGCACAGGCTGCCACAGAGGAAGAAAACAGCCATGGACCAGGGAATGGAATGCTTAATGCCCCGAGCCTTGGTTCTCCAATTCGAGTTCGCTCAGAGACCACCCAGTTAGACAGAGATGTTCCCCTGGTGCGAAAGTTACGCTCCATTCACAGCTTTGAACTGGAGAAGCGTATGACGCTGGAGTCTAAGCCCGACACTGATAAGTTTCTTGAGACCTGGTAAAGAAATTATGTTATCATTTTGCTAGGATCTTTTAAGGATATGTGATTAGGATACTGTTATCTGTGCTGTGTGATGAGCAGGAATAGAGCTGTTGAGTATGCTTATGGAAGTTACAGCAAAGTATTTTCATAATATTGCTCAATTAATGGATTGCACTACTTGGTAGCTACTTTAGGAAATGATTACTGCTTGAATACAGTTGAAGTAGGACTTCCACACCTGGAATTATGTATTTCAAGACTTAGTGGTTGTAACCCTGGTATTTATTAACTTTTTCTTCAGGGCATACTCTTGACAGTCAGTACAAGTCATCTTGAATAAGACGGTTCACATCAGGTGCTCAATAGAAGTAGGATGAGATTAGGTTATATGACATGAGAAGGGAAGTTTACAGGAAGTGGAGTGAAAAAGTTAGAAATCTACCTGCATGCAGCAGACTTAGTTATGCCCAAAGATGTTGCACCAGCATAAAAAAATCTTGGTGGAAGACAGAGAACTTAAAATGGAATTTGAAGGTAGAGAAGAGACAGATGTATGAAAATGGATTCAGTTTGCCTGTGTCTAGAAAAAATAAGGGGAGGGGGACACAGTGAAATCTGACTGAAAGGCAGAGGCTGAGTGGGGACAGTAGAAGAGAGCTGGGGTCATGACAATGGCAAAATCCTTCTGAATGCTTCATAGGGGAGCTAGGGATTTGAATTTGTTTGATGAAGCAAATTATGCAAAGCCTAAGTAAGGAATCGATCAAAGCAATAAATAACATTCTTCTTGAAAGCATATAACTGCTGCAGGAGACATCTGTTTCTTTGTTCCTCTTTGAGTATCTGCTTTGTAACAAATTAAGTACAGTGGACATCTGTGGTAACCTCACTACAGAGTTTTTTTCTCTCACAATTCTCCCTTCTGGTAATTATATTTACAATACAATGTGATATACATTACAACTAAAATTAAAAATGTGTACATTTCTAAGACCGTTCATCCATTTTTACTTGACACCATACTTATTTGTCTCAAATTGTGGATCTTTGCACCATTGTAGGCTGTTCTAGAATATGACAACAGATTTTTATATAAATCTAGTTTTTTTTCTTCTGAAAACACTCAAATGTAACTTATATGATTTAATTAATTCTTAACTAATTCATATATTAACTTCTTTTCTCTAAGTTTGGAGAAGAAGCAGAAAGACTTGAAAGTGGCAGAGACTCCTGTTGCTGCTGTTCCTCCTCTTTCTCAGAAAACATCTCTTCCTGCTCCTGTGACTGCCCGCACAGACCATGTTTGGCACTATGATGAAGAGTATCTTCCAGATGCTTCAAAGCCTGTGTCAGCTAATTCTCCTGACCATGCTGATGGTGTTATGAGTAATGGATTTGTAGCTGTTAACCTAAGCTCCTGCAGGCAGGAGGTTGATTCTAAGGAATGGGTGATAATAGATAAGGAACGGGACTTGCAGGACTTCAGGACAAATGAGGCTTTAGGGCACAAAATGACTGGAAGTCCCTCAGATGAAGAGCCAGAGGTATTACAAGTTCTAGAGGAGTCCCTTCCAGAAGAGCAGTCCAGAGAGGGCGGTTGGGCAGGAAAAGATGTCCATGCCAAGAACCAAACTTCAGGGGTGGAGTTTGTTCTCGACATGGAATGTCATCCTGCTGCATCTGAACAGTTTACAGATAAATTGGAACTTCTGTCTGGAGCTGCAGGACAGCTTCTTGCGGCCACCCCTACAAGTCCTATGGAAGCTCAAGCAGAAGGAGCAATCACTCCGGTAAGAAAACCTCTTCTTCATTCAGAATTGTAAGAGGAAATGGTAAAGATGGTCACTAAAATACAGCAGTGTAGCAGAAATTCCTAGTTTCAACAGGTATGGAACTTGATTCTTGAAGACTGATCTTCCATATTCTGTTACACAGCTGTTTACAGTCACCCATGGAAGTGCTAATTGTTCTGCAAGTGTGATCCACAAAACTGGCCACATTTAGCAAAGAATTATCTATCTGTCTGTCTAAAGAAGATCCTTGTGCAGTGATTCCTAATCAGTGAGAGACACACATACGAACACATAGTTATTATATTTACAGTACATTAACATAAAATTGCAATTGAATATGTAAAATACTGTGCTAGAGTGTTCCAGAAAAAATGTCTGAAATTAAAGAAACAGTTACTTGCTCTCATGTCTCACTAAGATTTCTGCAGTGTTTGCTTCTGGAATTCACTTTGTTTCTTCCTGTTACTTCAGAAATTTCTAATGCTTCCTATACAAACAACTTGTTGCCTTTTATGAAATGTTGATGTTTTTCACTTCTAAAATACTTTTTCAGCTCCTACTTTACTTCTATATTTTTTTTGCCAAAACAGATTGCTTTGCTTTTGTTACGTATCCTTTTTTTTTTCTTTTTCTGAAGAATTCTCTGTTGCACAGTTTTTGAACATTCACTTTTTTCTCCTGTCACTGTTTCTAAACAAAGACTTCTTTGCCTTTACTTAAGGAGTGAGATTAATGGTTAAGTGATTGGGAGCCACCTCATGGTTTTATTTCTCCCCTTTTAAAGTAGGTATTGTGGCATCTCTGATCTAAAGGTCAATTCTTTTAAGTTCCCTTGAGCCAAGAAACCTGGCTATATTTTTTTCTTCTTGCATCACTGCTTTTTGTGAAAGTTACTGCCAGCTCATTAGAAAAAGAAACTTGTCACCAACTAGTCATTTATTATCAGGTGTGGAATATCTTTTGTAGTGAAAATGAGCTACTCAATGTAATTAACTATAGCAGCACAGTAAAATTTCAACTATGCCTAGATTCTTATGGAAAAGGCAAGATCATACCTTTCATAAGGCGTTGTATTTGGACATCATACTTTAAATTATGTAGTTTATAGAAGATTAGTTTTGTATAATAGAAAATACAGAACTGTGTTAAACAACAGATTTTTGAGATTTAGTTTGAAATATTAGTTGCATTAAAGAATTTTTGATGGTTAGAAATCTCTAAAGGTGAAAAATTATTTAAAATTTTTAAGTTGTTCGGGTTTTGTATTTTAAGGTCAGTTTTAGTTAAAATGAACAAGAAAGAGCAGCACTTCGTCCTGTAAAAAATACTAATTATCAAGTGTCTTATTTCAAAAGCCATTAAAAACAGCTTGTAATTTTCTATGCAAATGCACTATATAACTGTACACTTTATACAAATGTGGCTCTTTTGGGGGAAATAGCTGTTTTACTCTAAACTTAAAGTAGAGGTGGTACAAATATTATGTACTACAGTGCAAAAAATGGACAATATCTTTGTCTGAAAAGGAAGAAGCTTCAAGACATGAGAGCAGAAATGGTTGCAAACAAAGCTAATTATCATAAAATGAATTGGAAGAAATACTGGCTGAAGTAGAAACTCGAATGAAATTATATTTTACTCTGGCTTTGCAGGGAGATAAGTAGCATTTGTCATGACCTCAAAGAAGGGGGAAATTAATATAGTTTATGTTATGCTAGAGGGGCAAGTAGTGTTGTAAATGCAAGATGAATGGCATGAAGGAACTTGGTGTTTCAGAGGTGAATGATGCATGATAGAAAATGTAAACTGACCTAGGAATAAAGAAAATAGAAATTACTTGGTCAGTTTAGTAGCTGGGAACAGAGTGTGTCTATACAGTGTGACTACTCCAGCTGTGATGGCAATTTGGGGTAGTCTCCCATCTACTTCATTAGCCCTTGAAAGCCACACAAAGCCTAAGAGGCTATTTCAGGGTGAGTTTTTCTTTTTTGCCTTCATTGATGTATTCCACTTTATAAAGGGTACTTAAATATTCCCTATGATGGGTACTAGAACCTAGATCTTATAGGTGAGTGTTCTTGTCACTTCACCGGGAGCAAGTGTGTGTATATGCCTCTTCTTCCTGCCGTTTTCTCTGTTCAAAACTCCTGGTGACCTCAGGGAGCTGTTTGGTAGAGTCCTTTTCTTTCTTCCTCAGAGCACTTACCCTGAAACTGTTTTTTCATTGTGATCCTTGGTTGTGCATAAGATGTTCTTGTTCTTTAGTATTTTTTTCTAGGTAGCACCTTCCTGACAATAAAAATAATAGGCAAAGGTCATACTTTACTTTTTTGCTGATTTAATTATATTGCACCGGTTACTAAGAGTAGGCTTGGATCCCAGAATGTTAATTTTAGGACTGTAAATCAAGTGTGTGCTACTAAAAGGGGTTAAAATACATGTTGAAATTGTAGTAGTTTAGAAACTTACAATTACTGAAATAGTTTCACTCATTTCAGACAGCTTGAAACTCTAGGACATGCCAGCATTCATGATCATCATGCTTATGAATATATCTCCCATATGGGTATATATATTTTACTGACCTGCTTCACTGTCATTTAGAAGAAAGTACAGTTTTGCTTTTTGGGCTTATTTTGATAAGCTTGTTAAATATGCAAGCAATTACTTCAGTGGTGAATGCATAAAATAATTTTCCTATCGTAAGTCAAGTATTTTTTGAATATTTCCTTTTTACTTTGGTGAGTTTTCTTTGTTCTTCATTTCTTTCAGTGCTTTATTGCTCACTATTTTAGTCATGGATGTTTCTGTATGAGAAACTAGTATTTCATACACTCACCCATAATTTTATTTTCTCCTGAAGGAAAGAAATTTCTGGTCTACAGTCCTTCCATTTATAGATAAATATTCTTCCTGAAATTGTTTGTCTATGTGGACTTCCTGTAATTGTTGATAATATCACTTCTCACCTGTTATACACAGCATCAGCATTCTATTAAAAATGTAAAGTTGCACCAGTTAAGAAAGAAAACTTGAACTTAAAAAATAAGAGAGAAAAATGTGTAAGTTATTGGCTTGGGGATGAGAAAGTCTCAGGCATAAAAAAATTACGTCAAATTATGCTATCTATTATGAAAAAAAAAGGCCTGCAGGTAAGAGAAGCATTTTTCATGTTATCAGTCTTGGTTTTCCAGTTGCAATATGGATTCTGTGTGCTACCAGCAAAGACCAGTTTAATCTGGCTTAGTTGTGGGCACGTGATCACATATCTGTTGACTACTCAGAGCATGCTAAGGGTATCTGTCCTGACTTTATGCTTTAATAATAGCTTTATTTTGGCTTTGGCTGCAGTGTGTGATTTGCTGTAATATCTACTGGTATGAAGCTAATTTGTCAAAAGAATTTGAGCTGATCTACAGTAATAGTGAATTTATACTGGAGCAGCAGTTTGCATTATACAGCTCTAGTTTTCTTTTCCTACACCTGGTACTAATGAGCTAGAGCTGGACTTTGTGTGTTGTGGACCCACAGCCTTGTTAATTTTCTGTGTTGGCATTGAATTGCAAAAAACACTTGCACAAAACCTTGCAATATGTATTTACCAAGCAGATATTTAATTTCAGATATTTCAGATATTTAATGGATTTGAAGTAATTAAACATGTAACAGCTCTTTCCATCTTCATTTTCAGTTTAAATTAAACAACAGTTTGCTTTGGTCCCACTTGGCTGTGGCGACACAAGTTCATGTAGATGTATATATATATGTGTGTGTGTGTGTGTGCATTATAGAAGAGGGTTTACTGTGTGAATCTATTTATTTTTGTTATTTGGAAATATTGCCGAAATGGAAATTTTGTATATCAAGGTTACATTTTATCAAAAGCTTGCTCTTAAATTTCTATTTATTTCTGAGTTGTAAGTAATTCAGTTTTCATGTACCTTCTCTCCTCATTTGCTGCTTTTATGAGACACTGGAAATACTTCTTTTTTCCAGTTGCAAGTCAGCTATGCATTGTGGGAACTGAAGCTTTAGTATTGACACAGTTAAAAGATACCTTTTCCTTAGAAACAGAAATGCTTGCTAGATGCTCTTGCTTTCCAAAGGATATAGGTTAGAATTGCAATGGTATAAAACAAAAAGTCACCTTCATGAAGCATGAAGCTTGCAGAAAATTTCCTTATCTCTACTCTTCATGGTTTTCTCTAACTGTAATTGGAAAAAAGAATTGCAAACTTTGTATAGCAATCTCATTTACAGGTATTTAAGTGTGTCACCATCAGATATTTATTCAGTACTGGAAAAGGTCTTGCAAAAAACCAGTTAATTTTAGCTTTGTGTATCAAAGCTATAGGTTTATTAGAATCATCAATAAGCAATTCAAAAATGTACTTTGTCTAAAAATAGTAGTTTGGAAGACTTTACAATTCCTATTCTTTTTTTCTTACCTCTTATCTAAATGCTTTAATTAATGTAGTTCAAGATGAAGCAATTGTTCCTTGATTCTCCAGGCCGGTGTATCCTCCAAGTTTGGTCCCACGTTTGGGAAATTTCATCAAAATTGTTTAGTATCAACCTTACTGATTAATCCTGTCAGGGGCAGTTCTTAATGTATGCTGCTATTGGCCCAGCTGTAAAACCCCCAGTGGGTGTATATGCAATAAATATAGTAATCTCAGAAACACAGATGTGATGTTGGGCGGATGTGCTAACTGTTTGAAAGGATCAGGCAATGATCAACTAGCCAGTTATCAACAGATGTACACAATGTCCTTGAAACAGACTCTGTTAGTTTAGTAAATTTGCTCTAGATTGTTACTGACCAGTTATAATGGTTGCAATGGTTGGACTTAAAGAATTTAATTTTATTTTCCAACCTAAGTGATTCTATGATTCTAAGACTGAATGAATGAAGATGCCAGCCAGAGAAATGAGGATTACTCTTGATTTTGATACTGTATTTTTGAAAATGGATGATGGAAAATGTGAAGATTAGACTTAAGACACCTCTTAAATTATGAACTTTCAGCCTCTAAGGGAGTTGTGAATATGGTTTTTGAGGGAATGCATATAGGCGAGACATAAACAAGAATTATTAAAATATATTCAACCTTATTTTCTTCCCTGCCATGTTGTTCTCACAGCTCAACTCATGTCATATGCTGCATTTCTCCACTCCAAGAATTTCAAGTCCCATCCTCCGCACCATGAGCCCTATAGCCTATCTGTCCATCCACTCGGACCCTCCGAGGGAGGCTGCCTTGCCAAGGAGTCAGTCAGCTGAGAGCCACTCCTCTTCCTCCCGCTCAACTGCTCGTAGGCAGCTTCCTGTCATTCCCTGTGGCAGCAAGCTCCCCCCTGTCATTCGCATCTCAAAAGCACAACCTGAGCAGGTGAATAAGCCTTGTCTTCATAGAAGCGACTGCACTGGAGCAGTCATCTGTAAAGTTTGACGTTTTCAGTTGCTCTGCACAGTCTGGTGGTAGGCATATGCCAGTCATACTGCTATACACAGCATCCTAAAAATGTTTTGAAAGATCGAGTTGGGGGAGTAAGAATGGATATTTTCCGGGAACAGAGTTGGGAATACTCGGTGAGGAAGATAATATTGTCCCACTTAGAAGAGGGGAATATTTAAGGAGCTGTTATACAGGTTGAGATCTGGAGCACAAAGCATCTTTGAATGTTCTGGAAGACAGATTAACTTCCTCTGAGATTTTCTCTTGAAAAAAGATAGGACTATAAAATCTTAAAAAAAGTATTTTTTTTGCTTAATTTAAAACCAAGAATGATGGATTCCTATAATCACAGTACCAGCTGAATTTCAAATTCGGAACACATATTAAAATTTGAACTGTCCTAAATTATTTTAATGTGACAAAAAGGGATCTAGAAACAGTCAGATTATTTCTTTGGAAATTAGCAAATAATAAAATTTTCCCCTGCTTACAGTATATAAGATAAAGATGGCAATTATCAGGGGTCACAGGTAATGAAAAATTACAAAAAGGCCACTAAAGAAAGGGGCCTTTTTACAGTTTTGTATTTCCAGTTTCATTTCACTATGAAAGATGAAGGCTTGCAGTCATTATTGAAGTGTAATTTTTGTATTACAAAAAATTATTTTTCTATCGCAAAAATATTGAGATCTGCTAAGTAGTGCGAGTTTGCATTGTTGGGTAAAGCAGTATGACATAGCATTAATGCATAAGACTAACATATCATCATCATTTTACCATTAATATTTCATTTGGATTATATTTTGTGTTGCCTTTCATTTCCAATGTATTTTCAGTATAAAAAGCTCTATATTACCAACAATTTTATTTTCTCAGTGAAGAATGAGCAGAAGTATTGATATTAAAAGTAATTCATTAAGCTTAGTTACTTTCAAAATTCTGTAGGATCATTGGTGTGTGATAAAAAGGTAAAATCCTGGCTGTTTTTTAGCTGAATATAAAGAAAAAAAAATCTGTGCTTCATGTATAAAAACAAACAGTAGCTCTCCAATGTTCATGATTGTGAACTTGATGGGCTACCGAAATACCAAATCTTCATGATGGCTGACATATTGAGCAGGGAAAGGGACCTAGGAGAACTTAACTCATTAGGAGTTAAGCTTCAGTAGTTTTCAGCATTGGTTTGTATCCTAGGATGCAAGATGACCTTAATTTCTGGTTGTTGGTTTGTTTGTTTGTTTCGTTTTTTTGGTTTTTTTTTGTCTCTATAGCTATGATTTAAGTTTTTCAATCAGAATCTATTGCAGGTGTAATTAGCAAACTTAGTAAAATGTGCACAATGCTCAGAAAAAGCAAGTTGGCTTAGAGTGTCTTCTCTGACTTCCTTAGTACCCAAAAAATAAATACAGCTGGAATATTAATAACTGCTCCAAAGTGATGTACTTTGTCATGTGTAGAAGACCTGGCATTGTGCCAGGTGCTGCTACTTGGTGGAGTGAACATTAAGCTTCTTCTTTCCTTTTACCTGGTAAGTGCCTGACGGCCGTGTTGCTTTTTGAGCTGTGATTTGAAAGTCATAACTGTGTTAAGAATTTCCAGAATTAATTAATTCTCGTAATTAATTAATTAAGAATTACCAGTTTGCCATTTCCTATGGAAACTACAAGCATGTGATTGTTTAGTTCATTCCAACAATGAAAGCCTCATATACTTTATGGCTCACTGAAGAATTCAAAAACTTTTGCAAGTCCTTCTCTTTTAGACATATTTTAAATATTGAAAAGATTTTCAATGTCATTCATGTTAATCTGTACAAATATTTGTACTGAATATATTTTCAAGTCTTTCCTGCTGTCTGCGATTTGGTTCAGCATTCATAACTAATGGATTGCAGAGGTCAGGGATCTGTACTGTTGAATTTAATTTGATGTATTAAGAAATAAGAAATTATACCTTTGTTTCTGAAATCAAGCAAAGTGACTTTCTTTCCAGATTTTTGATGAATGAGGGTTCAGGAGCTCTAACCTATCTTCCTGTACTTTGGTATCAGATAGAGGAGGTTGTGAAATCTCTGTATCTTCTCTGCTCACTGGTGCAGAGAGGCTCTAGGATGTAGGTTGGTCTATATTTGCTCAGTAGAGGACTCCTGTCTTGCCATACATAAATTATGAAAGAGTGTTTTGCTTCAGCTCTCCTTCTCCTTAGTTATTCAACTTGCAGCATAAAGAAAAGAGTGTGGTAGCATTACAGCTTTCAAAAAAAACCAGATGAATTCTTTGTACTTGGGTCTTGGTATACTTCTCATCTACAGCATGGTCAAATTGTAAAGCAAATCCTCTTGAAGCCTAACATTTTTCTTCCTTTCTGCAAATTTTTCAACCAGATGAGTTCTCTGCTCATTTAGAGAACTGCATTGTGTGAGGTCAGCGGTAAAGGTGATGTGAGTGCAGCAACTGCTGCCCAGGGCTGTGTGAGAAGCTACTGCTTAAGTAGCTGCAGTGCTAAATGTGCAGCTGTGTCTTAAGAAACAATCAAAATCAGTGAGTGCAGATTTTTATCTCTGGTTTCTCAGCTCTAATTCTCCAGTGAGATAGGGAACACCTGTTTTAGCCACAGCAGCAATCTAGAATACTTCTAAACTGGCTGCTCTACAATATGATACAGTCCTTAACAAAGGTGGATTCCAGTTTTGTCTGTCATTCAGGTGTATTTTCTTTTTTCAGTGTGCTTAATCAGGTATGTGCAGGGAGGCTAATTTAAATTTAATCATTTTATGGTTATTCATTGTGTTAGGGAAGGCTAATCTGTGTCTCTTGGGTTAAGCAATTAGAATTGGTTGGTACTTATACAAATATTTCTGTCTTAAAATTCTCAAATTTCTACCTTACTGGAGCATTTAAAAATATTTTGTAATTATATACTTTATAATTGTAATTATGTACTATATAATACTATATAATTAGTTACAAAATGCTCTGAAATCTTCCCACACAAGAAGCTATGGAAATGCAAGCCATCACTTTCATATTCATATCTAAGATGAGAAACAATATACTGATCTGAGTTGAAAAATTTACCTTAATTTTTAAGCATCTCACTGGAATTCAGGGACATATGGAAGAATAAGGTAAGACTTCTTGACATGTTCAGGGGTTATTTAGAGAAAGAATGAATATCCCTTATAATTGGTTTTTTTATTTTATTTTAGGTGTTTCAGGTTTATAAGCTGGGAGTGCACATAATTGTAATTTTTGCTCTTTTTATTAACTAATTTAGTATTTTTTGCTAGTCTGCAGTAGCAAGAAAATGAACATTTACATTGTTTTTCACAGTTAGCAATCCCTTTTAGACCACAAATAAACAAACAAAACCCCAAAGTGTTCTTTTCAAATTTGTCAGTGGTATTAACTTGTCATGTATGGTAGGATTGCTGTAAAACTCAGATAATTAACACTCTGGTTTAGAATTTGCAATATCATGAAGGGATACATTAGTCTAAAATCCTCTTCTGAACTTCATTTTCAAGACATGGCACTTTATCAAATAGATGTCTTCTTGAAAGAAAAGAGGGAAAAGGTGTTTGTGTTTCTGTTTGGTGAGTCTGTGTTTTTAATGCTGCCATGCTTAAAACCATAGTTTGTCTGTAGAAAAAAGGTTCTAATTTCAGATTTTACACAATTGTTATGCCTCTCATTACCTATCCTGATGGTAACTATATGGAGTCAGCATGAAGTTTAAGTTAGGTTCTTCCCTGTTTTATTCAAGACAGAAGTTCAAGGAGCTAGTCCAGCTTGTAGCTATGAGAACTGTTTCATACACAGTAGATTTGATTTTGTTGAGTAGGGAAAATGTGCAGATGATTACCATCATGACAGGGTAATTGTTAATAACTCTTAATTTTCCACTAAATTTTACCCCGACTTACTCACATTCTTTTAAGCAACTGGATGTTATATTGATAATGATGTTTCTAGAAGAATTTTCTTCCATACACTCTTTTTCTAATGCAAAAAAGTAAAAGTTTTTATTTTTTACTTTTATCCAAGTGTCAGATGAAATTGCTTGATACATAGGAATCTAAATGCTGCCTTTTCAGAGCAGTCTTTTGTCTGAAGGAAATTCTTCAGGCATACTTTTTTCTCATCTGCCTTTGGTGTAAAGAAGAACTAAATAGCACAGCATGTTAAATTCTTCCAATGGAAACTTTCCAAGTTGTAAATTAAGTAACTAAGAGTTGAGGATAAGCAGTCAGCACGAACAACTTAATTTTTCCCGAATAGTGTGTTGCTGTAGAGAACATTTCCATTTGTAGTGACAGAACCATTTTGGCCATTCTTCTTCTGCAGGTTTCTCTACTAGAAGCAGCAGAAAAGTGGTGAAGGTCTGAACTTAGCTGTGGTAATAGCATCCACATACATTGAGTGAAAAAAACCCAAACATACAAAAAGTTGTAATTGTTTAACATACTTGTGTTTCTGGCATCAGTGGTGCTTTTATGATTCCCAAAATTTGTAATCACAACTTGCAGTTATTCTTGTCTGTCCTTGAAGTTGTCTTTTTTTTTTTTTTAATTATTCTTTAAAAATGCCAATCCTATCCAAAACTTGTGCAATTTATTACATTTTTCTAACATCATAATTTCATTAGCATAAAATATGTAAAGATGTTTCAGGAAAGCTAAGTGGTCTGTGGGATTTCCCATGGAGAGCTGATTAACTCTGGGGTCAACAATTGTTTCCATGACAACACTTCATCCTATAATCATCTTGAAATAAATAGGTGGTTACAGTTCAGAACATAATGGCTAATGATTATTTCTCCTGTAATTAAGTTATAATTGATCTAATTAATATAATTTAAATTGTGCCTGTAGATAAGTCTACATACTGTCTACAGTATCATCCAGAAGATAATCTTTAATTTAGATGTATTTATTTCTTAAAATATTTTTTTTCTGTTATTAAAATCACATATGATTCTAGTGCAACTGTAATTACAAGGAAAAAAAATTCACTCCTCTGAACTGTGCATTGAGACAAATCAATGCTTTCTTTAAAAAGAACCATTTCTTTGGAACTCAAGAAAAATACTACAATACTGACCATTTTGATAGCTGTATCACAGGAGTATTATGTGAGTGTTATGAAATAATAGTCCGTAAGTGCTTCTGCTTTCCATTTCAGCAGTAAATTTTAAGAATGTTCTTCAGTTGGTTTATGCATTATATAGAAGTAGTTCCAAATTGAATGAGTACCTGTTTTAGTCATGTTACCAAATTAATTAGCCACTTATTAACAGTCACAGTCATTCTCTGAAAGGAATCAAAGATACTATTTTTAGAGCAATCAGTATTTGTCCTGTAGAGGATATAACTTTATGTTAAAACAAAAACAAAAACAAAAAAAAAAAAAAAAAACCAAAAAAAAAAACCAACCAACTAATTTTGTCTGGTAAGTGGTGTAGGAATAACTAAAAAGGGAAGATGTTTAAGGAATTCAAAAGTTAAACTGTGGCTAATAAGCCTTAGAGAAAGACTGTACACACAGATCTCTATGTTCTTTGTCCTCAAAAGCTACCTATCATCAAGTGAAAAGTTTGAAAAAGGAAGTATTTACACATCCTTACTTTTGAGATGCAATCTGCAGCCCTGGAGAACATGGTATTGAAACAAGCTTAAGACTGAGCTCAGTGGACATCAAATGTCCAAGTGATCTCTCCAAAATTTGAACCTTCTCTTCCAAGGATGATACTGCATTAGAATTTCCTGAACCCACTTTTACCCAAATTGAAGATCAGAATTTTTAAGCAAGCTGATAATTTTTGTTTGATAGGCCAAAGTAAGTTCCTCTGTCATATGAAAGCAAGTCCTTCAATGTAGCCTACCTTGAGCAGTGTTATCTTAGGGCAAATTCCGACGTACGTATGAAAACCTATGGGACAGTTCCCCTGTTTCATAGACCTTTTTTCTTGTTTGTTTTTTTTTTTTTTTTCCCCTCCAGTTTTAACCATTTTCCTTTCTGTGCAGAGTTCTCTCTAAACTGTTTTTTAATACTCAAGATTTAGGCACTAAATGATCTAATCATGGAAAGGTGCTTTTAAAGACAATTCTATTTCCTCTGTTATTTCTGTAGCTGAACTGATATTCTTGGATTCTCTCAGAAAAAAATGTTTTGAAATAAGAAACACTTCAGTAACTCAAAAGGGAAGTAATGTTTCTTTCAGATGAAAGAACCTGGACTGAGATTAAGAGGAGATGAGGAGTACTGTTTTGTTCAAACTAAGTTACCTCAGATTTTTGCTGAATGTACCGTTTTAATTCAGCAAACATGGAGGACTGTATTGGTCCAAACTTGAAAACAAATTATAAAGGAGACAAAAAGTAGACTCTTACTGCAGGTCTCTGTGTGGTTTTTTTTGTGGTTTGGTTTGGTTCTATTGCCAGTAGTACCAATGTACTAGCTCTTGCACAAGACTAGTAAGCTCAGCACTGTGTATAATTTCTTTAACAAAACCAAGTAAAATCTGTATTATAACATAGCAGAATCCTAGCAACACTCCACTAGTTGTCTCTTCTTCTCTAGGAGTAAATCAAGAAAGTGTTTTTAGCCAAACTCAGACTCCAGTTTCCACTTTCTGTTGAGTACAGATTGTGTCAGATTCATGAGGCTACAGAATAGAAAGGAACACAGAGTTGATTTCACTGTCCATGTAGAAAAAGATGTAATGGTAGCCCCCTTGATTTTTAAAATTTTTTGCTGTTTACACCAACTTACTCCAACCAATATCTATAAGCCAGAATGCTGGACTCCTCTTCATGTGAGAATGCATTCCTCCCATGTCTCCAGAGACAAAACTTGTGTATGTGCTCTCTCTTGTGTATGCATTCTCTCACCATCTCACCTCATGATTCTTGCATTTGTGTCTGTATAGTTGCCTGTCTTCAATGGGGAAGGTGAGAAACAACTCCATTTAGTTTTTTCCCTTTTTGATGAGAACTTAGAGGAAGTGAGTTTATGCGCTTCAAGCAGGGAGAGATATGAATGCAGGTTTCCCATTTCCTGGACATGTACTCTAACAATTAAGCTGTGTGCCAAAGACAGCACTCATCATAACCTACTGTTTTTCAAAGAGTATCTGACTTAATGATCTATACAAGTTTTAGGAGTGCTTTACATGTATCTATTTGATCAGGCCTGTTAAGTGATTTAGATATGTAAGTATTTACTTTTTGAATGTCTTGGTCACCTTAGGTAAGGAGATATCCTAACCAGAGTACTTAGTTAAAATGGGGCATAAGCTTCAGTAGGAAAAGTAATAACTAATACTGGATACTCAGAGAAGTTCTTTTTCCAGACAAAAATATATTAAGAGCATGGAATTTCTGAATCTAAATGTCACTGTGTTCTTTGTCTTCTGAATTTGTCTAAAAATATTGCTGTGTACTTGTTAAAATTTTTACATTTATATACAACTTATTCTAAGAGTATTCAAAGTAAAGTAAAAAAAAAAAAATCTGCCCATTAGATTGGATCTCATTTCCAGGGTGTTACCTGCTAACTGCAATTTTTCATTGACATTGTGGTTTTTTTACCTGTAATTCTGTCTTGGCAGGATAGACTATTTTATTTTTTTTCTGATTATCTACATGTATGTTATGAAGTTAGGTATTATTTGAACATTGTGATTCATAGGAATCATTATATAATGTATTTTGAAGATGTGGAACCAAAGCTGCTATTTAAAGGATGTTACTTTGTATAACATTCCCAAGTTTCTCACCTTTTTCTTTAATTTTCCAATGCAGATAACAATACCCAGACCTTCAGTGGCATCCACACAGTCTGCATCAGAGAGCTTTCACTATGGCCACCAGCTGGAGAGAAGAGAGCAGGATGGTCAGTCCGTGGAACACACTGTGGAACTTTCCTCTCCAAAGGAAAGTTTGCCAGGTTTGGTTGGGACAGAAGATGCACTTCCAGCTAGTGCCAGCAGACCAGATTTGGTACTTAATATTAGCGAAGAGGTGCTTGACAGGGGAGGACTTGTCAAAGAATCTGTCGGTGTCTTGGACTGTGACCAAAAGGACCTACCTGAACACAATGGGATACAGGAAGAGAAGGAGCTTGGAAATATTCCTGTGGAGGAGGCTGAGGAAGAAGGGCTCCCACTGGTTTCTGAAGAAGCCATTGAAATGCTAAGCAAAGAACAGAATTCTTCTTTGCCAGGAAACTCAAAATCTGCAGAGGAAGAACCTCTAACAAATACTGAAGCAGCTCAAGAATCCAAGTCAAGGCCTGTCTGTTTGGTGCCAAATCAAGATGAGGTTCTGAAGTCAATAGCACCTAAAACATCAGAATTGTCTCCCTCAAGACTTAATAACGCACATGTTAATAGACAGGCAAGCAAAATAGCAACCATTCAGGAAAATGGTTTTCATTCTGATAAGGAGGAAGTCCATAGCCAAGACCTGAAATGCCACCAAGTGGCCCTTACTACTATTTTGCAGCAGGAGAATAAAAAAGAGAAAAATGCTCCCAGAAATGGAGAGTTATTCCATTGCATTTCAGAAAATGAGAATTCTTATCGATCTAAGAAGGACTCTGTTAAATCTTCTTTTGTATTCAGGCAGAGTCGAATCCCAGTTTTAGCACAAGAGATAGACTCCATGTCAGATTCCTCTTCTGTTTCTGCAAAGGAAAAGCTTCTTCTAAAAAAGGCCCATCAGACAGACTTGGTCAAATTACTTATGGAAAAGAGACAGCTCAAATCTTTCCTTGGTGACCTCTCAAGTGCCTCTGATAAGTCACTGGAGGAAAAAATGGCTGCTGCTCCAGTACCGTTTTCTGAGGATGATGTCTTGGCTTCGTTTTCTAGATTGACACTGGACTCTCATTTCAGCAAGCATAATGAAGATAGCTCTTTATCTCCAAGCAGCCCTCAGTCCAGAAAAAGCAAGATTCCAAGACCAGTGTCTTGGGCAACCACTGATCACATCACCAGTTCAAGTTCAGCTCAGTTCTTTCCTCGGCCACCACCAGGAAAACCACCTACTAGACCTGGGGTAGAAGCTAGGTAATGCATAGAAAACAGAAATAGATTTTCAGGTTGAAATAGATTTTCAGGAGCTAGACTGCAGTTACTGTGCAGGTTTTAATGCTGTATAAGTTCCACCCTCTAACTAATTTAAAAAAAAAAAGTTTGGCTTCAATTCTTTGAGAAACCTTGCATTGTTAGAGAGTGAATGAGGAGAAGCTGTTACACAAGAATGAGCCTCGTTCACTGTTAAAACTAATACATCAATAGGTGTGTATTCAATATTTTGAAACCTGACAATCTATAACTAAATCTTTACACATTTTGTTAAAGTGGGATCACCTTCCAGAACTGCTGGTTATTTAAAAACCTATAGAAATTTTTAGGAGCGGTTGTATTCAGCCCCCTTGAAAATTAATCTGTTCTTAATGTAGACATTGTAAATATTTGGAGACTCCAGCCATCACCATTGAGTCAATTAGCTATGCTCAGATCATGTCTAAGTAAACCAACTAATTAAAGGAGGGCAGAGTGAATTTTAGAAGACCTCCCATTTGCCACGTCTATATGCAGACAACCACAATCTAGTTTTGTCGGTGTCTACTTTCCAAAGATAAGAATAATTTTGACACAGTAGTGCAAAATCCTTTGAAGGAAGTTGCAGCGGGCCTTGTGATCCCTTAAAATTGTGTATGGAAGTACACTGATGGTGGGCAGGAATGGATGTACCCCTCTGGAACGGCAATAAGTACTGCTCTTCAGTGCACTTCTTCCAACACCACCAGGAAATTCCCGTTATCCTGTGAACACTGAGGCTGCTTATGGAAGTGAGTTTATATAAATATAAATACTGTGTTGAGCTGAACAAGACAGAAGCCAAAGCCTAGATCCAAACACCTCTACCTAATAGGACAGTTGAGTTCCACATATCTGTTCAGCAATGCAAGCTCCTTCTTAGTTTCTAGTGATACAGAGTTTCTATTTGAATTTTAGTGAATAGGTGGAAATAGAAATAATCTTTCTTCATTTCTTCTTAAGGTTGCGCAGATACAGAGTCCTAGGCAGTAGCAGCTCGGACTCAGATCTTATCTCTCGTCTGGCTCAAATCCTGCAGAATGGATCTCAAAGACCAAGGAGTTCTACCCAGTGTAAGAGTCCGGGATCTCCTCATAGTCCAAAAACTCCACCCAAGAGCCCTGTCATCCCCCGCCGCAGTCCCAGTGCCTCCCCTAGGAGCTCCTCTTTACCCCGTACTGCCAGTTCTTCTCCGTCCCGGGCTGGGAGATCCCATCATGATCAGAGGAGTTCATCCCCACATTTTGGGAGGAGTAAATCACCTCCTAGCCATTCAGGCTCTTCATCTTCTAGGAGGTCCTGCCAACAAGAGCACTGCTGCAACAAAACGAGCAAGAATGGTCTGAAAGGATCTGGCAGTTCTTTCCACCATTCCCCAAACACTAAGACTTCCACAGGAAAGAGCAAATCAACTACTAAGCTTAGCAGATAGGAACTGGGTCTTGACAGGTATAAAGTCTCCTCCTAAATCTGATGCATGTTGTGTCTGTGTACTGTGTATTTAAAAAAATAATCAAAAAAAAAAGTATATTAAAAAAAAGGTGTTGAATCTGCACATTTTAAAGAAAGTAGCCATTGTAAACTATTCATGAGAAAGCATTCTGTGTAAATAAGTGACCAGGCTTTGCCTTAGAGCAGGCAGCAAGCAGATCCACAAGATGGGAAGTAGAGGCCAGGGTAAGAATGGCTGGGTAGTCACAGAGGTGCAATGTATTTAGAGTGAAAAAGTATCTTGAAGGTGAGTGTTTTAAAATGGTATTAATCTCGATGTGTTTAGTTTCCCTAGTTAGAAGATTTGGCCTAATTATTTAAGGCCTTGCATACTCAAGGAGTATGTAAGAAAGCCTGAAACAGTTATTCCCAAAATGATGTCCCTACTCGGGCGATAAGTACTGCTCAAGCATTTCTTTGCAGTTTTAAAAAAGCACACACTTTAGAAGATGATATTTCTGCCTTATAAATTTCTTCCATTTTGAGCTGCACTCACCTCTGAGTCACTGAGTGCTTATTTTCTCCCCTATCATGGCACAGATTTCTTGCCTAAGTATCATGTACCTTACCCCTTCTTGACACTGATGAAATTAAAAAAAAATAATATTTGACAAGAAGTTTTTGTACCAATATTATTTAGAAATTTGCTTAGCAGTAATTAGGATCCAAGAAGTCGATTCTCAGTTCTATATCATACAGTTTTCTGGGAGTCATAGTGGGGTTCTTCAAACCACATTTGGTAGGATTTAGAAAAACATTCCTTCCTAGGAAAAAAGAGAAATGAGTAGATGTATGTCCTTCACTGGATGTTGCAGATTCACAGTAAAATGCAATATAAGTTAAAAAATAAGAACCTTTCTTTACCCCCTTAATTCAACTGAAAAAACCCCTTTGTTATTGCTGACTTTCATTTTTCCATTAGTTATGGATCACTTAAACCACAGATCTTGCAATGCAGAGATGATTACCAATCAAGTTTTGGTTTTTTGGTCATTTGTTTTCTAAAAATATGAAAGATGAAACAGAGATGAGGAAATTGTCTACTTCATGAACTTGGTAGGTTAGGGGTGACTGAAATATACTTAACACCCTTATAAAATCTGGGTAAGAATATGAATCATCAAAGCAAAATATATGGAAAGAAATCTGAGATATTTTTATATTGGATTCTTGTAATTCAGTTTCCCAAATGTGTTTTTGATAGCCAAGCTTTGTTGACTCTAGTAAAGTCCATGGTGTTTAATTTCATTAGGTAGTTACTTAGTAACATGTGCTCTGCAGGAACCCTGTAGGGAATGAAAGGTACCTTTTGCTGTATTCAGAAAAGCATAGTGGGTCAAAATAGGGACAGAAAAGAACACAAGCCTGAGAAAGATTCAGCCAGCTCTCCTCCCTGATGATTCCTGTTGTGGGGACTCTGGATGCATAGGAGAATTGTCAATTACTGATCTGCTTGCTGTAGTCATATGCCTCTCCAGCCAGCATCTGTGTTTTTTTATTTAACCTCTGCCAAATGAATACCTTTGGATTTAAAAGGGAATATTTTTTCTCTGAGCTAACACATTCTAATGCTGCATCAAAGCTGCCCTAGAGCTGCACTGAATTTCACTTGCTTTGTCAGACTATGTTGATTTTTTTCTTTTCTTACTATGTATATTGTTTCCCATATGTAATGTAGCACAGTGTGGAACCTTAATTTCATTCAGGTTTCAAGCACTACAGATGAATGCAATAGGTAGGGTATACCTGCTTTTTCTGAAGAAACTGTACCATTGCAAAGTCCCATTCCTTTGTATTATATTGTATAATAGGTGCTATACCAATAATTGCATGTCCTCATGGTAAATTATATAATATAAATATTTATATATACATATATGTACATGCTTATATAAACTTATTCTTTCTCATTTTTCACTTGTAATTTATGGACCACAAATAATACAGTTCCCTTTCTGTTAGTTCCTGCATACTTACCTCTTCTATTCTCCCCCGCACCCCTGCCAAGAAAATCCGGAATGCACAAATTCTAATAGCCTTTATACCTTGGTACAAAATTGAAGGACTGCTGATTTCTCAACCAGCCAGTGTTTTGTGTTGCAGCTTGTTTTTTTTTATTTTATTTCTAATTTCATGTGCATATTTGCATATGGAACAAGAACAAAGACTCAAAAGGTATTTTTATTTTTTATTACAAATAGGTCTTACTCATTTTTATTTCATGATGTGAGTTCTTAATTGTGAATACTTGTCATATAGGAACAGTGACAGTCTATGAATACCTAACGGATGAATGTGACAACAACAAGTTCCATCTTTTCCTTCCTGTTTTCTACATGTTTCCTTATGGTAAAAAAGAATTTGGTCACATTGTGATGTTTTTGTCCTGGGCACTTGCTGGAATTATTTGTTAAGGTGGTTTGGCAGCCCATGATTATTTTTCCTTATTTCTGAAAAGTATTTATTATCATCATGTAAGTTTATTCCTACATTATGCTGTCAGTTTTCATAAGTACTAACTTTATGCATCGTTGCCTGAAAATGCTGAAGTTGAGGTGTTTATATTTTCTCTCTAGTATAACAGGATCCAGAAATGGTAACTGCTTCACAGGTGAGAAAGCATATAACACCTCTTTTATGTTGTCTTCAAAGTACAGCCTTGTCCATTGTTAGACATTACTATGTAAAATAAACCAATGCTGTAGAAATTCACTTGTACTTGAACTACTTGCCAATGTAAAAATAGTAAACTATGCCAAAAAAAAAAAAGAGAAATCAGTCATGATTGGTGACACAGGCTTCTTTTGATGACGAAAAAGGTAGAAGGACTATATACCCCCAGTTGCTTTTTTGCTGTAGATTTAACAGGATCTAAGGAGAAAGTAATGAAGATGTGAATGGAGGAACAATTGTGAATAACTTAGCTTGAACTACCTGCTCTTCTTGAGTTTTTTGTTGCTTGATACCTTTCTCCCAAAAGTTTACAGAAGTGCTTATTGTAGTCTAACATAGCAATCAGTTAATGTTATTAAGTAATGGTCAGCTGATCAACTCATACATAAATATTAGCTTAATATTTCTAGAGGGCCTATATAATCATTAAGGACTCTGTAAGCCTCAATATTTGAATGTGGAGATGGCTCTGCAGAAAATCACCAATGTACATGTGCGTGACCCTTGTGCAGAGTGTGTGTGAATAGCTTATGCAGGTTATCTGCAACACATTTTCAGGGACGGGGAAGATTTTTCTCCATTGTATAAAATGGCTGCCGTTACTCTGCATAGCACACAGCAGCTTATATAGGAATATTAGCTGGGAAATGATAAAATTCAAGGAGCTGTTACTTTGTCTTCTTCAAGCCGCCATTTCTTCGGAGGGCAGTGCAATGGAGCCATGACATGTAGCAGGTGCAGATGCTGCACACTCATTTCCTCTTTATGGTGTATTCTGTGTTGTGGCCAGCACTTTGGAGCATTTTTTAGAGAAACTGAGGCATGAAGCCTTTAAACTGAAATAGAACTTGAAATCACCAAACATTTCACACAGACTTTTGTGCTACAATATTGCATGGTAAAATCAATCTAAGTTACAATCTCAAAAATCAATATTAATTAACCTCTTTATTAATTACAAATGCCAATTACTACTTAGGTAAAACCCTGCTAGAATAATAGGAAGTGTGATACAGTAGAGCAACGTTGGCAAGTTGTATGATGCTAAGCACCTATCTACTGCTTGAGCAGGATCATTAAGTGTAGAAAATTTCACTGCTCAAAGGCAGGAGCAAGATGAGGTCTTAACTGCTTGTTATATATAATTATACAGGAGGCAAAGCCCTGCAGAGTGACACAAGGCATTCATTACAGCCACCAGCCACATCCTGTCTTGGGAAATCTGGACATATTCTTACCTTGAAGTCTGCATGTTTGAGATCAAGCTTTCTTGCATACCTCACTAAACAGTCTTGATGTATAAGAAAGGATTTGGCCCTATATATTTAAAAATAGCTTGAAATATTTTTCATCTGAAAAAGACTTGCTGGAGCTCTATCATCTACGATTTGTAGTATTATGGTATTAACTATTGCTGGGAAAACACAATTTTGATTTTATATATCTATATATAAATACACATTTGTACCTAAGTGTATCTACATATACACTTATATAGATACTGTATATTATATAGAAATATATATATACATACATACATATGTGTGTATATACATATAGATAGGAAGAGTCTCAGCTATTTCATCCTGTTCACTGGAATTAATTTACCAGAGTGAGCCAAGGCCTGTTTTGCTTTGATTTACTCTGGTCTCCTTTTCACCTACTGCAATGTCCCTGTGCCCTAATTCCAATTCTGTGTCTTTTTCATATTACAAGGCCTCATTCTATAGTCTGACTTGGGCAAAACTCCCGTAGTCCTTCTTATTGCAGTAATATTTATGCAATGCTTGTCTGTAATGCTTCTATTTTTTTTTCTCTTTGATGAGAATGTAGATAAAGTCAGATTTACAGTACAGTCTTTTTCCTGTAAACAGAATTTTTCTGTAATGAATTGAACATTTTTATGGAACACTTAGAGGCATGAATTCTGGCAAGAAGAATGTAATTATTCCAATTTCTTAAAAGGACCTAATGGAAAATGAATGATATGTGCCTCCAATTTTTATATATATCTTAAATGAGAGAGCAGTCTTCTGAAAAGGAATAGGAGAATAAAAGAGAGCTCAAAGTCAAACTTTCTCATACAGGCCTATAATACGTGGATTTTTTTCATGCAGGACTGATGCTGTGAGGTGACAAGAGCCGTCTGTCTTGTCATTCTCAGTGAGTCAGGGTCTGCTTAGGTTAACACCAAGGTATCTGTGGTGCATTCTCTGTATGCTTTTACACTTTTAGGAATGGTCAGAGAACTGTCGGCTGGATAAAGGCCTTGATTTTTATCTATGATTCCTCTCTTCAACTGGTGAAAGCTTTGGGTGCTCGTTGGATGGTGAACATGGCAGTGCTAGGTTAGCAGTGGAACTTGGATCTTGGGGGTGTTTTCCAACCTTGATGATTCTATGATTCCTCTTTCTGGAATTTATAGAACAGGGCATAATATTTTTATTCAACTTCTTTCAGCTAATCAAGTAGGCAGTGAACTGATTGGGTTTTTTTGCTGTTTTGCTTTTGGCTCAAATGTCTTTTGTTGTAATTAGTACCATTTTTGGATACCAGGAATGCTGGTAAAAGGAAGTGAGGTTCAATGTTTTTACTACATGCAATACACAGGCATAGGTCATACATTTCTTAGCTAATCAAATTGCATAAACATGCACATCACATAAGAATACCTCACCTGTCTGCTTGAAGCCAGTTTTCCTTCTCCCTACACATAATATTTGTGAAAGAAATTATATAAAATCAGCTTGGCTTATATAATAATTGTCAGGAATTATCTTATGATATTGTCAATTGTCGAAATTTTTTAATCACTAATTTTCATATGGTTTAAATAATCAGGCTTTTAAATATATATCTTTAAGGAGGGGTTTTTGTTTGGCTGGGTTTTTTAAGGAAAAAT